CCCCTGTACTTGAAATTCAGCTGCCATTTACCAGGATTCAGTGTATATATGTGCTCATTTACAAAGTCCAGTTCATCATACCAACTTAAAAATGCAGCCCACCAACCACATGTGGCACCAAGAAGGACCTCAGGGTCGGTACCTCGAGTAAGAAACTGCAAATGAACGAAGATGTGTCATGCACAAATCAAGGGAATCGTGCAGAATCAGCCGTCAGTCAGGTTAACACAACTGGGAACAGGACCTTGTGTGTAATTCTTGAGAGGAACCCTAAAGGCACGGCTGAGACCTGAGGTCGTCGATCTTGGGAGCCATGGTCCTGCGGTCCATGAGCAAGTTCTTCCTGTCAGTGAAGCCCCTGTCCATGTCGTCGCTAATGCCTGCACCCTACATAATCAACGGTGTACCCGATATTAACTTCAGCTTCACTCTTTCAGAGCAAGTGCTATGTATACATTATCAAAGCTAGTGTATTGTTTTAACAGGTTCCACAAATTTATTTTTGAATCAAGTGCATATGCATCATAGAAAGCTGATGCATTACATTGTTAAATGATGGTGAAACAGTGTCCAACGTATACTGTCAAGTGTGTATGCTGAAATCACACATCCAGCCACAAAATATATGATGAGCACATGCGGTCCGACACATGAATGAATCTCCGCGAATGAGACATGTTCTAGCGGGTGATGGCAATCCAAGATGAACAAGTTAACCCTAAAATCAAATTCTTTGCCCAAACAATCAATTTGACAAATCCAGCGATGGTAGAAGGAGGGGAGGGCCGGGCATCTTACTTGTGGACGTTGGTCTCGATAACCTGGCAGACGAAGAGGGAGATCATGGACGTCTTGCCGGCCCCAGACTGGGCCTGGGCGATGACACCGCGGAAGGTGATGATTGGGATGCCAGCGTGTTGCTGGATGGATACGGCCTTGACGACGGCCGGATCTGGAAGGGAGGTGACGGCGCACTGCTGGATGGATACGCCCTCGACGACGGCCGGACCTCGAGGGGCAGTGACGGCGCGTGTGGAGGCCACGCACGTCGCGGTGCTGGTGGAGACTGGCGGGAGGCGGCGTCATAGGAGTGGTGGCGCAGGGTGGAGGTGGCGCAGGGATCGGCGGCGACTTGATGCGAGTGCGAGGGCGGCGGCGAAGGGAGATCGGAGATGGGGCGGCGGCGAAGGATGTCGTACGTCATGGGGATAGGAATATCGAGGAGCGGGTTTTCCTCTGGTGGGGTTTTTTTTCGCGGGAGGGTTGCGAGTTAACGGAGGTGGGAGGATGACGAAAAAAATCAAAGGTGGGAGGATGATGAAAAAACCAGCAAAAATAAACCGCACATACTATTCACCAACTGCTTCATTAGGAGTAGAGATAAGATATCAACTCGAAACTATAAGAACTAAAAGGTAGCGGCAAATCAGAAACATTTTAAATTGCGAACTAGAATAGTTTTTCAAAATGGCAATATTTTAAAAACTCAACCACTATTGAAATTCGTGAATTATTTTTAGTAAACTCATATTTTCTGAAAACAGTGAACTGTTTTCAATCTGTGAGCAAGGTTGAAATTCTGAACAAAAATTTGAAAACGTGAACATTTTTTGAAAACACTAACATTGTTTTTAAAAAAGGAAAGTTTTTTTAAACTCATAAACAAAATTTGAAAATACGAACAAGTTTATAAATTTGTGAACAAATTTTTAGAATTTGCAAAAATAATTTCAAAACATGAACATTTTGGACATTTATGCATAAATTTTAACAGGAATGTTTTTGAAAATTCCGAACATTGTTTGAATTTGTGAACAAATTTTCAAAAATGTGAAACTTTTTTGCAAACATGAACGTTTTTTAAATCTCCCAAACAAATTCGAGCATGCGATTTTTTTTGGGAAATACGAACATTTTTTATTCATGCTTATAAAAATCCAGATTATTTTCCAAAAAAAAGAATGCTTAACGCAACACATACACTTTTCTATTTTTGTGAACAAATTTTCAATAAACTTAAATATTTAAAAAAAACTAGAACATTGTTTGAAATTATTAACATAATTTAAAAAACGTGAGCAATTTTAGGAAACACACACATTTTTTTAAACTGCCTTGAATAAAAATTGAAGACACAAACATTTTTTGAAACTAGCAAACAATTCTTGAAACTAGAATAATTTTTGCAAACATGAATTTTTTGAAACTCCAAAATACATTTGAAAACATGAATGATTTTTGGAATCGTGAACATTTTTTGAAAAACATGACCACATAGACAAACAATTGGAAAAAATGTAAAAAATAAAACATAATTTAAAATAAAAAACATTAAAAGAGAAGAAAGGAGAGAAAAGCAAAAAAAGAAACAGGGAATTATAAAATCAAATAAGAAACAGAAACAGAAAAAAAACGGTTCAGAACCTCCTAGAAGGTTCCCAAATGCGGAAAAGGCTGGCTGGAACCTCTAGAAGATTATCTGTTTATCTTTTTTATTAGAAAATATTTCCATTTATCTGAGCTAAGAAATGAAGTATTAGGCCCGCACATTTCAATCAACGCATGGACGGACTTAGCCCAGTGCACCGAGCCCACGGGACCTTTCAACCAGCGGCAAATCGAACCACGGCCAGGATCTCGTACATATCGCCAGCCGGGGACGGCGACACCGCGCCCGCCGCACCAGCACAGGTGTCGCGGCGCGCCCGACACGAGTGCTCGCATGCGTCCCACGCGGCCGCTCCAGCTCCGGCCTCCTCCACGTAAACCCATGCACCGCGCTCCTCTATAACCTCACTCCCCTTCCCCTCGCTCCCTTCACTCACAGCGAGCGTGCTCCGGTACTTCCCCTCCCTCCACACGCACCTTCGTTCCCATGGCGGCTGACCACCACAGAGACAGGGGCGTCCTAGGCGGCGGCGGCGCCTTCGGCGACCGCAGTGGCCACGGAGGCTACGGCGGCGACCACCACGAGCAGCAGCAGCAGAAGCAGCCCGCGATGATGTGCGCTCTGAAGGCCGCGACGGCGGCCACGGCAGCCGGGTCACTGCTGGTGCTGTCCGGGCTGATCCTGGCCGGCACCGTCATCGCGCTCACCGTGGCGACGCCCGTGCTGGTCATCTTCAGCCCGGTGCTGGTGCCGGCGGCCATCGCGCTGGCGCTCATGTCCGCGGGGTTCGTGACGTCCGGCGGGCTGGGCGTGGCGGCGCTGTCCGTGTTCTCGTGGATGTACAAGTACCTCACCGGCAAGCACCCACCGGGCGCCGACCAGCTGGACCACGCCAAGGCGCGGCTCGCGTCCAAGGCCCGCGACATCAAGGACGCCGCGCAGACCCGCATCGACCAGGCGCAGGGGGCTTGAGGAGGAGGTTCGTGCTCCGGCGCGCGGCCGATGCGTGGATGATGATAAACGACATAGCGCACGGTTGCTGATCCGTGCGCGCGTTTGATCGCCGCCGCGCCCGCCGCGCGAGCAAGTCGACGACGTTTACCACCTGTTTGTGCTATCCGACCGAGTGCGTGTTTAGACTTCTGTTGCGAACTAGTTGTCCTAGTAGTGCTCTAGCAGTATGTTTCCGTGGTCGAAGTTTGGAGAGGGTCTGGATGCTGGGTGTACTATGGTGTGTGCTTGTGGATGTCCGAGTTTATGATGAATAAATTGCCGAGTTTGGGCAAGTGTGCAACTGTGCTTGTGGATGCCTCTTGTCTCTTTTCACAAAAAAAAAAAGGATGTGCAGAAGAGACAAGGTCCTTCTGTTTATTTCTACATGACTCTAAAATCAACTTAATACCAACTTACCAAGTGGGTATGGTACTAGCATTAATTCCCTGTGCAAGCATACGGTTAATTTGTTTAACAAGAGATCTGATCTCGTAGAGATGTTTATGAAACGTTTGAAGTGAACATTTGAAGTGAACACACAGAGCAATGCTTTTCCTTCTTTTTTTCCATGAAGGAAATGCTTGTCGATGTTTCTAGTACTTGTATCGCATTCGGAGTGACTGAATACTCTGTTGTGATTTACGGACGAGCGGTTTGTAGATGGGGAGATTGTTCAAAGATCCGTCTCTAGAAAGGAAAACAAAGGTGTTTCAGGCGACGACTGAATACTCTGCTGCCCTGTTCTGATGTGATATACCACACGAGCGGTTTGTTGTGATTTACGAATACTGCTGCTCTGTTCTGTAGTGATATACGTAAAACACGAGTGGGGTTTGTTGTGATTTACACACGAGCGCTTTGTGGATAGGGAGATTGTTCAAAGAGATCTCTTGTCAAGGAGATTGCTCAAAGATCTTCAGAAAAGAAAGACGAAGGTGGAGCCTGTGACACAAATAGCAAGGAGCCTGTGGCACAGAGCAAAAGATGGGCCAAAGTTCGAGAGCAAATGCACCTTATTTTTCTTCTCTTTCTAGTTCAAGGCTCTATAAGATTGAGGCTTAATTATCTCTAATTAAGCTCTCGTGTTTTCTAGTTGGTAAAATAGAGAAAAAATTGTACACGACATACATGGCAATAAAGTATCTTATCTTTTTAATACATATCAGGATTATTTGATATAATTATATGATATCGAGCTAAAATCAAGCGAGCGGTTGAATCAAGATCAACTCATTTCTCCATCAAGCTACTTAAAGTGTTCATACTCGGCTCTTTTTTTCAAAGTCGGTCTCGGTCAAGCCAAAATATGAGTCGGTTGAATCAAGATCAACTCATTTCTCCATCAAGCTATTTAAAGTGTTCATACTCGGCTCTTTTTTTCAAAGTCGGTCTCGGTCAAGCCAAAATATGAGTCGATCTTGCGCCGCTCAAGCCAAAAAACAAGTCAATTCCAAGTGGCTCACGAACCTTGAGCTTTTATTGCAGCCCTACTTGTGTCAACGGTTCGGCACTCGGTAGTGGGTGTGGGCTCTCCTTTGTAGTCGCAGTAGTGGCTTGGGATGTTGGGAAACGTAGCAGAATTTTAAAATTTTCTACGCGTCACCAAGATCAATCTATTGAGTCGTCTAGCAACAAGGGAGAGGAGAGTGCATCTACATACCCTTGTAGATCGCGAGCGGAAGCGTTCAAGAGAACGGGGTTGATGGAGTCATACTCGTCGTGATCCAAATCACCGATGACCGAGCGCCGAATGGACGGCACCTCCGCGTTCAACACACGTACGGTTGGGAGAGACGTCTCCTTCTTCTTGATCCAGCAAAGAGAGAGGAGAGGTTGATGGAGATCCAGCAGCACGACGGCGTGGTGGTGGAAGTAGCGGGATCTCGGCAGGGCTTCGCCAAGCACCAACGAGAGGGAGAGATGTCACGGGGGGAAGAGGGAGGCGCCAGGGACTTGGTTGCGACTGCCCTCCCTCCCCTCCACTATATATAGGGGCCAGGGCGGGGCGCCGGCCCCTCTAGATCCCATCTAGATGGGGGGCGGCGGCCAAGGGGGTGGCTTGGCCCCCAAGCCAGGTGGAGGCGCCCCCACCCCTAGGGTTTCTAGGCGTAGGAGGAGGCCCATGGGGGGCGCACCAGCCCACCAGGGGCTGATTCCCTTCCCACTTCAGCCCATGGGGCCCTCTGAGATAGGTGGCCCCACCCGATGGACCCCCGGGATCCTTCCGGTGGTCCCGGTATAATACCGGTGACCCCCGAAACTTTCCCGGTGGCCGAAACTGGACTTCCTATATACAAATCTTTACCTCCAGACCATTCCAGAACTCCTCGCGACGCCCAGGATCTCATCCGGGACTCCGAACAACTTTCGCGTTACCGCATACTAATATCTCTACAACCCTAGCGTCACCGAACCTTAAGTGTGTAGACCCTACGGGTTCGGGAACCATGCAGACATGACCAAGACGACTATCCGGCCAATAGCCAACAGCGGGATCTGGATACCCATGTTGGCTCCCACATATTCCATGATGATCTCATCGGATGAACCATGATGTCGAGGATTCAATCAATCTCGTATTCAATTCCCTTTGTCAATCGGTACGTTACTTGCCTGAGATTTGATCATCGGTATTCCAATACCTCGTTCAATCTCATTACCGGCAAGTCACTTTACTCGTTCCGTAACACATCATCCCGTGACCAACCCTTAGTCACATTGAGCTCATTACGATGATGTTTTACCGAGTGGCCCTAGAGATACCTCTCCGTCATGCGGAGTGACAAATCCCAGTCTCGATTCGTGCCAACCCAACAGACACTTTCAGAGATACCCGTAGTGCACCTTTATAGTCACCCAGTTACGTTGTGACATTTGGCACACCCAAAGTATTCCTACAGTATCTGGGAGTTGCACAATCTCATGGTGTAAAGAAAAGATACTTGACATTAGAAAAGCTCTAGCAGACGAACTACACGATCTTGTGCTATGCTTAAGATTGGGTCTTGTCCATCACATCATTCTTCTAATGATGTGATCCCATTATCAATGACATCTAATGTCCATAGTTAGGAAACCATGACTATATGTTGATCAACGAGCTAGTCAACTAGAGGCTTACTAGGGACATGTTGTGGTCTATATATTCACACATGTATTACGATTTTCGGATAACACAATTATAGCATGAACAATAGACAATTATCATGAACAAGGAAATATAATAATAACCATTTTATTATTGCCTCTAGGGCATATTTCCAACAGTCTCCCACTTGCACTAGAGTCAATAATCTAGTTACATTGTGATGAATCGAACACACATAGAGTTCTGGTGTTGATCATGTTTTGCTCGAGGAAGAGGCTTAGTCAACGGATCTGTGACATTCAAGTCCGTATGCACTTTACAAATATCTATGTCTCCATTTTGAACATTTTCACGAATGGAGTTGAAGTGACGCTTGATATGCCTGGTCTTCCTGTGAAACCTGGGCTCCTTGGCAAGGGCAATAGCTCCAGTGTGTCACAGAAGAGAGTCATCGGGCCCGTCGCATTGGGAATAACTCCTAGGTCGGTAATGAACTCCTTCACTCAGATTGCTTCTTGTGCTGCCTCCGAGGCTGCCATGTACTCCGCTTCACATGTAGATCCCGCCATGACGCTTTGCTTGCAACTGCACTAGCTGACTGCCCCACCATTCAAAATATACACGTATCCGGTTTGTGACTTAGAGTCATCCAGATCTGTGTCGAAGCTAGCATCAACGTAACCCTTTACGATGAGCTCTTCGTCACCTCCATAGACGAGAAACATATCCTTAGTCCTTTTCAGGTACTTCAGGATATTCTTGACCGTTGTCCAGTGTTCCATGCCAGGATTACTTTGTACCTTCCTACCAAACTTACGGAAAGGTTTACATCAGGCCTGGTACACAGCATGGCATACATGATAGACCCTATGGCCGAGGCATAGGGGACGACACTCATCTTTTCTCTATCTTCTGCCGTGGTCGGGCATTGAGTTGTGCTCAATCTCATACCTTGTAATACAGGCAAGAACCCCTTCTTGGACTGATCCATATTGAACTTCTTCAATATCTTGTCAAGGTATGTACTTTGTGAAAGACCAATGAGGCGTCTCGATCTATCTCTATAGATCGTGATGCCTAATATATAAGCAGCTTCTCCAAGGTCCTTCAATGAAAAACACTTGTTCAAGTAGGCCTTTATGCTTTCCAAGAATTCTATATCATTTCCCATCAATAGTATGTCATCCACATACAATATGAGAAATGCTACCGAGCTCCCACTCACTTTCTTGTAAACGCAGGTGAATGGATCGATATGGCTGACTAGAGGGGGGTGAATAGGCAACTAGAAATTTTTAGCTTTTCTTTAACAATTTAAACTTTGCATCAAAGTAGGTTGTCTAGATATGCAACTAGGTGAGCAACCTATATGATGCAACAAGGATAGGAACACAAGCAAGCAAGTGATATGAAACAAATAAGCTTGCTCAAGTAAAGGCACGAGATAACCAAGAGTGGAGACGGTGGAGATGAGGATGTGTTGCCAAAATTCCTTCCCTTTGAGAGGAAGTACGTCTCCATTGGAGCGGTGTGGAGGCACAATGCTCCCCAAGAAGCCACTAGGGCCACCGTATTCTCCTCACGCCCTCACACAATGCGAGATGTCGTGATTCCACTATTGATGCCCTTGAAGGCGGCGACCGAACCTTTACAAACAAGGTTGGGGCTCTCTCCATAACTTAACTGGAGGCTCCCAACGAAACCACGAAGCTTCACCATAATGGAATATGGCTCCGAGGTGACCTCAACCATCTAGGGTGCTCAAACACCCAAGAGTAACAAAATCCACACAAGAAAGTATGGGGGAAGCAAATATCCTTTGGTGGAAGTGTAGATCTAGGTCTCCTCCTTCAATCCCTAGCAAATCAACAAGTTTGAGTGGCTAGAGAGA